TGTTAGCATAGAACTTACTGTTCTAGCTAACTAAACGCTAAATTTGTGAGACCACGTCGCCAGTCTAATACTGCACTTAAATTCATAGTCTAGGTCACGAGATTTAAGGAATTCATCCGATCAAGGACCATGAAAGTGCTGGATTTTTTTGATTATTTTTTGTTATTTTTAATACCCGATAAACCAAAAAAAGAAAAAAAAAAGCTGAGCCGATAAAATAATTTAGTCGGAAGTAGTCTTTCGTTTTGACTTTGACCCGTAGACACAACGTTGCCAGTCTATAGATACTCTATCGCTGTTTCCATGGCAAATGTTAAGATGAGCATTCCATTTTTTAGTTACACCAGTTCAAATCATTACAGCTAAAACATGGCATTCTTCATCCACCCAATCGAATGTTCTTCGTATTTCTATTTGTGAGGAGAACGTTCCACTCAGCTTTTTTTTTCTCGAGAATTGCTACACTTTGGAACAAACTCCCGTGGGGATGCTTCAAAGAACAACTATATTCTTAACTTTTTCAAGTCAAGGTCCAATCGCTATATATCCTCCTTATCCTCATGATCTTCACATTTTCTACTCCCTTTCCCCTTCACGTCAGACGGTAACGCTCTCCCACGTCGGGCTCTTGAGTCTTATATTGATTGAAATTTAGTATAAAAAATTGCCGCCTATCGAGTACTACGCTTAAATTCATTTTGTCTAGGTCCTCATAAGAGAAAGTTCAACAGAACAATTACTATGAAAGTATTTATAGAAAAGACACAGGTAAGTTACGGCGGTAGAAAAGGGTCTGAAGTCGAGATGCCAGGTCAGGACCAATAACATTGCAAATTCTTCTTTGAATACTATTAAAATTACAACTGCAGCGCATGGCCATATATGGCAACAATATTCAAAGCATAGGCAAATTGTATACTTATAAACATAGGTTCAGGGGAGAAAATTGTCTACTATGACTCAGTGAGTCAACTTTCCTTGCAGCAGACCTAGCAATAGATTCAATATAAATTTTCAACTTCATGTCAGCTGAGATTGTAAGCCCGCGAAGGTGCAACGAGTTACTCTCCTGAAGGTTAGCATCAGCCATACTGATGGAAGGCAAGAAAGGGTCTTTTATAGAGATATGCTTCGTCTTGAAGCGTGAGTAACGAGCAAGTGATAAGTGAAATTAAAATAAAAAAAGGTTAATGGAAAGGTTCTATATATATTTATATATATATATATTCTCCTCATCTTCATGATCTTCACATAATTCTATTTCCCCTTCCGTTTACATCACGCACCTCATTCAGTGACGGTCTGCCACGTACGGTTCTTGAGCCTTATCTTGAGAGAGATTTAGTATAAAAAGGAAATCAGACGAATAATAAAGAATAAATATCTATTTCATAGTGCATGTCGAGTCAGGATATATGAGATCATGGCTTTCCAGTTTCCTTTTGTCTCATTACTATTTCTTTGAGTCTTTATTTTGCCATAGATTCAAACAAACTCGTTCTTTTCCTTGCAATATGTCCAGTATGTCTTGTAGGTTTTTAATTCTTTTAACCGTCTTTCCTTATTTCCCCCGTCTTTTATTTTAATTCCATTTTTTTAATCGATATCACTTCATACAAGGCAATAAAGCCACTAAGACACAAGGATAATTGGGTAAATGAAAACTGATTGGATTAGAAGAAAGAAAGACAAAAAGGCACAAAATTAGGAACAGAAACAATTATTACGAGCAGGAAGAGAAGAGAGCAACCAGAGAGACGGAAGATTGCGATTGACATTGCATTTAAATTTTTGCAGATTAAAGTTGGCTGGAAAGCATAGAGTCCCACAAACGAGAAATGCGAGAGAAGAAACTGTTAGCATAGAATTTATGGCTACTTCTAGTAAGAAACTTACGTGAAGTTTCTGCTTGCTTTAAAAAATCCTCATTGATAACATGTCCTGTCTATGTTATTCTTAGCATTCATCAATATAACCATAAATCTATCCCTAAAAAATCTCTAAAAATATTTTCATATATTTATATAAAAACTCTTTAAAGAAATACATGCTATGCATTCAACGTTATATAACTGAAAATTGTTCGATTAAGTTTTAATTTTCGTTACTAAATTTTTGTATTCACAATTACTGATGGCTTTTTCTCAAAGTTTTTGGCCAGCTGTAAACTTTATTAAATAGCGATAAAGCAATAAATCGTAGAACCCATTTGGAAGAAAGAATTGGACGGGAAGCCAAAGTTAATCGACTTCTGGATCTTTATTTAGATATTTTCGATGTTGTAAATAAAATCAAATTTTAAAATGGAACCCCAAAATAGGTTCGCAAATGTAAAAAGCTTTACAAATTCGAGAAGTGTTCGAAAATAACGAGAAAGAAATGAATTTATCATGAAAAGAAAGGTAAATGAACAAGAAAGAATTAAAAATAAATGTTTAAAAACTAATAAAAATAGGCAAACAGATATTTCCAGATCCTGTCTATATGTGTGGCACTATGTGACACTTATAATTAATTAAAATAATTTAATTTAAAATATGAACTGGAATAGACGAAGAAGTTTAAAAGAACGGAATAACATTGAAACTGAAATAAGGGATGAAATAGTTTCCCATCGAGAATCTAACTTGAAGAAAAGACATACCTGAAAAGAATGACTTTATTGGTTTTCGGAAAGATATTATCAGAGGCCATTTTGAAAGCTTTAACCCACTTGGTTCGAGAAAGAATAGTAAAAGTACATTTGAAGTTAGTTGAAGATTTTGGAAACGAAGGCAGACATTGAGAAATGGATTTCCGTCCGTTTAATCAAAGTTACGAAAACATGTCTCATGTTAACCAGACGGGAGAAGGGCTCAATTATGTTATAATATTTGGTAATTTCGATAAGCATAATCTGCCTGTCAAAGAGCGGAAATAGCTTCGACGATTTTGGAAATGTAAACAAATGGAGAATTAGCATTTTATCCTTCACTTGAAGAAATTGAAATACGAAACGGACCTGTAAGGTTCATGAGTACGATTAATCGAAAAGATATGTGGACAAGTTTTACTAATAGCGGGTCGGTAGAACGGCTATTAAATGTCTTCATTGACGAGGGGCTTAAAAATTCCTTATTAAAAAATAAGATAATTACAATTAATGATTAAAAGTAAGAACCTCCCTTTCACTCACTCGGTTTAAAAATCAGATTTGTTAGAGAGGCTGAGATGAAATACTAAGACAGGAGTAGGAAGAAGGAGAAATTATCTCCGCACCTTTGGAAGTAATGGTGCGAGTCATAAATAAGAGAAAGAATGAGTTAAGAGGGCGGAGCGATACTCGCAACCAGCACCAGCAGGACGGATGTTTCTCTCAAATTTGGAAAGATTAATATTTAAAGATTAATATTGCGAACCAGACAACAAGCAACACTTGTTCAATTTGGTACAGAAACCTGGGGAATTACCAGATTCCCAAATGCCGTCATAACCACTCCAGTTTTGGATTGAAGTCAATATAAGCAGAGTAATTAGGCGATCCAGAGAGAGGGAGAGAGAGGAGAGAGACAAGCAGAGAAGAGCAAACGAAGGTTCTACTGAAGTTCACATGACTTGCTGCCAAGAGAACCCTAGACTTTGAGTCCTGTTTCAAGAATTAGCACCAATAGGTAAAGTGTGACTATTCAGATTTTAGCGGGAAGGGTTAATGTTGGTGCACAAATAACTACATGAAAGAAATTGAAAATTGTTCGTCTGCGAAATAATTTCTTTTTATTCCTTCATAAAACAGCTTGGCCGGAGTTCGAACCAGCTCTACGATTAGTGGCGATATTCGATCTCCACTACTCTGTGATCAAGAAACACAACGTGGGCGGAGCAAAGTGTGAGTGGCGTGGACAGCAACCAACAGCTCTTTGACCAGCGATAGTATCGACCAGCATGGAATTGACCCTGTAATCAACTTGTCGTCCTACAAGTCTGAGGACCAAGACATCTTCTAGTATTGTCGGTGTGTGGCAAGGGTCATATAATGTGGTCCCTGCTGACCAGGTTTGACCAAGGACCGGCCGGGGCGTGCGTGCTATATATGTACAATATTTATTTTATCATCATAACAGCCTTCTCTCGGTTGGTTGATTGATTTTGGTTAGCGGCATATCATCCACTATGGGTTATTTAATACCGAAATCTAAATATTTTGAACGCAGTTGTATGCCTCAACTACAGGTAAAATCTATTGTTGGTCTACTATAATATTTATTACTGCTTATTTTCCTTTAAAAACCTATTACTGGTAATTTTGCTATAAATAGCTTTTGCTGATAACATTACTATAAAAATATATTTTTATATTTTCGTAGTGTTTTGTCTTTGTTTTAGAGTTTATTATTTGTCCATATCTGGGACCCTAACAGGTGCTACCACCCCAGTTTCATGGTGAACCTAGGAACAACAGCATTGGTTCTACATTCCTCAAAACCTCCAGTTTACCGATCTTCTTTCTTGCTGCTGACCAAACTTCAGTTTTTGACAATAGCACATATGTTCTTTTACTGTTCGAAATTCTCTGGTTATCATCTAGACTTTATGGCGTTGCCTTAGAATCAGTTTTACTTCTATAGACTTGTTCGAAAACCATTCTGATAATGTCAAATAGTTTTACTTTTTTGCAAGTAAATATAGAATATATTTCAAGGCATTAAGTCAGAAGTAAATAATGACTAATGAAAGAAATATGCAAAAATAAAATGAGTTAATCTGATAATATCGAATATTATTGATGGTAGATGAGAAAAGAAGATTGTATGGCATCCTTATAAAAGCGAGAGGTAAACGAGAAACAAGCGAGAAGTGTTCGAGAATAACGAGAAAGAAATGAATTTATCATGAAAAGAAAGGTAAATGAACAAGAAAGAATTAAAAATAAATGTTGGAATTATAAAGTGGATATAGTTGATGATAAATCTTATTGAAGACAAGGAATGGTAAAATAAGGTATAATAAAGAATAAAGGAGTATTAAAGGGAGATAATTGTGAGGGGAGGTAAATGAAAGAGTATCGAATTAGAAGAAAGAAAGACGACACAGACACTAAGTATTAAAGAAAGAAAGAAAGAAAGAAAGAAAGAAAGAAAGGGAGGTAGAAAGAGAGAGCGAGAAGGAAAGAAACAAAACAAAAAAAGAGAAAGAAAGAGAGACAAACCGAGAAAAAAGAAAAAAAACTGAGCGAGAAAGAAAGTGAGTGTTAAAGAAGCAATGAGACAGAGCGAGAAAGAAAGTAAATGCGGGAAAGAAAGTGACAAACCGAGAAAGAAAGAAAGAAAGAAAGAAAGAAAGAAAGATAGAGTGAAAAAGATAGAGAACAAGAAAGAAAAATAAAGAAAGAATGTAAGAGAGAGAGAAAAAAGAAGGAAAGAGATCGAGTTAGATAGAAAGAAAGAAAGAAAGAAAGGAGGAAGAGAGAGCGAGAAAGAAAGATAGCGTGAAAGAAAGAAAGAGACAAATATAGAAAGAAAAATAGAAAGAACGAGAAAGAAAGAAGGTCTGAAAGAAAGAAGGAATTCGAGAGAACGCGAAAGAAAGATGGAAAGAAAGAGAGAAAGAAGAAAGAAAGAGACAAATCGAGAAAAAAGAAAGAAAGTGAACGAGAAAGAATGGATGAGAGAAAGAAAGAAAGAGAAGAGCGTTAAAGAATGAAAGAAAGAGAAAAATGGAGAAAGAAAGAAAAAGTGTGAAGGAGAAAGAAAGAAAGAAAGAGAAAGAAGGAAAGAGTGAGAGCGAGAAAGAAAGAGAGCCTGAAAGAAAGAAAGATACAAACTAAAAAAGAAAGACAAAGAGAGGGCTAGAATAGAAAATAATGAAAGAAACGAAAGAATCAAATTGCAATATAGAGAAAACGGAATGCTGAATGAAAAAATGAAAACAAATACGTCCAAGAAATATAAAAGAAACTAAAAAAAAATATCAGGCATGTTTAACAGATTTACGATCAATCGCTTTCATTATTTTTCTGACGTGTTTTTGTTACATTCTGCTACAAATTGATGAAAAAAAACAATCGATTTCTGCAAAATGACACCGGATAATCTTATCTGATTTCTAACATTGTCTGCGTTGATCTTTTTTCTTCCTGGCTTTTTCCATTTTCTTTTACGATTTGGTTTTACTATTTTTCTCACACTTTTTTTGTATCATTCCTTTTTTTTTTCTTTCATTTCAAACCAGTGGTGGCACATATGCTGAAGCAAATATTACAATTCAGGATATGGAATTAGTCAATACTAAACACTTCAGAGACCTTGGTGTATGAATCAAATTAAGTAGAGGAGAAAAGGAAATGAAAAGAGATAGTTTCTCTCTATACCACCAGTTGTTACAAAACCAAAACATCGACCTGAAATGCATTTCTTATTTCCACTGGTTCTAACTTTCACAGCGAAGACCCATGAAACCCACATTGCCCATATTTTTAATGGGTCATAGTCGTTTGCTTTTTCTTTTTCCTTTTGCTCTGTCCTTGTCTCAAAAGCATATGATAGAATCAGTGATAAACTCTTCTTTTACGATTTTAACTTCCACCAATTTGTTCGGTTTGCGTAACTCCAGTTTATTATCAGTTTGTAGTGAAACATTTCCACAAAATCTTGCATTGTTCTTATTTGGGGACTATCTCTGGCTTTTCTTAGTACCATTCCTTTTCGTCGATGAAAATTCCACTTCTAATAAATCATTTTAGGAACGAGATCATTTCGCCAAACTTTAGAACTATTCAGAGTCAAACATGGCTTCTTACATATAATACCTGCTCTAATTTCCTCAATTTCCCCAAATGTTATTTCTTCTTTATGGAAGACTATTATTTGTACTAACATCCTGTTCTTGATTTGTTCTTGCTGCACTTTCAGTTTTCTTCTTGAAAAAAAATTACCAATTCCATGTCATATTGGTTCTACTTGCTTCTGATATTTTCTTTTTCTTGCTATTTTATATTCTCCTTCGATTCTATTTTAATCTATTTCACGTATTCCGCTTTTCAAAGCTTGTTCCTTTTTCACCATTTTTATGACTTTCTCTTTCTTGTTGTGTCCGAAATCCATGAAGTTAAATCCTTCCAGGCACGTCCTATTTCTGCAAGAATTTACTACTACTACTACTACTACTACTACTATTATTATTATTATTATTATTATTATTATTATTATTATTTCCTTACATTTCTGTTGTATACAAATTTCCTTTCGTATCCCAACTAAAGACCTAATGGCTTCACAACATTTTCCACTGATCATTAAAAACAAACAAAAAAACAAAATCAAAGATCCAACACATTTTGCATAGATAAAGGTCTTCGTAATGTGTGATCTGTACTTGTGAGTACATTTTTTTTAATTTCTTTAAGGCATAGGATACCAGTAATCCCTTCAATGAGTCTACCGGAACCTTTTCCAATCAATCCGAGGGATCCAACTACAACCAGAATTACTGATATCCCCATGTATCATATTCGTGAGATTTCCAATTCAAGATTCTAATATTTTGATATATTTTTTGAAGATCTTCAAAGATGCATTACAGTCTGCAGATCCTGCCATGTCCATAAGTAAACACATTCTGTTTTTGCGGTCTCTGATCACGATGTCTGAGAGATTAGCTTCATTGTTCTGTCTGCGTGTATTGTATAGTCCCATAAAATTGTTACAGCTCCTATCTCCGTAACCGAGTCTAGCTGATGTTCATACCAGTTTCTTGGAGTTTTCTTCCCGTAAAAGTTGCAGATTTTCCAGTGCAGATATTATCCCAATCTGTCTTGCCGATTTTTATTTTCAGTGAATGCTAACATCGGGATACAAGATGGTCAATTGTTTCTGGATTGATCACAGAATCTGCATGTCGGGTTCACACAATTTTTCAGTGCCTGTGATTGGTAATTTACTAGTTAGCAAGCATTGGTCCTGTGGAGTAAGAATAAAACATTCGGTTTCAGCTTTTAACACTGTACCTCGTAACTACAGAGCGGGACGGGTTTGTCTAAATCAGCTTGTTTCGTACAGGCAGAGTATTGAACACAAAGAGGCTTATCTTGCCATTGTTTCTGCATTTGGTACATTGCATTCGCTTCTGTTTTCTTTTTTAGGTTTTTGCCATTACACTGGGTGTATTATGATTTATTTGCACTTCTTCACCCACTTGAAATTCCATTTTGAAATTACTAGCTTCATTTATTAATGAATAAAGCTTCTTATTACTTCCATGTTCTTTGACGCGCATCATCATCCAGTCTTCTTTAGTTTCCAGTTATCTTTGAAGACTGATTCTTGTGGTTTTATAAGACACTTCTGGTTGAACTAATCGTCTGCCTTTTTCGGATCTGGACACATACAGACGAACAACATCAGCCTTAGGATTATTTATGCAGTGGCAAGTAAGAAGCTTTATCCTTTTGACATCCATTCGTTTAATGTCACCTGTGGTCCAATTAAATATATTGAAACTGTACTGCACCACAGGGACACCCAAAGTGTTTATGACTGATATTCTGTTCTTTGAATTCTTTTCTTACTTTCTCCTTCATTTTGTATTCCATCTCCTCCACTGACTCCTAGTTATTACTAGGCTTCTTCTTTTTACACTTTCCTAACCATTGTGACAAAATCCAGATCTGTTGAATGTTTTTCTGTCATTCTCCCTTTCTTGAATGTTTTATTTTGAAATATTACATTTCATGTGTGTGTTGTGGACCCGGAAATGGTCCGAAAGAAAACTCGAACTCAGCAATTCAGTGAAAACGTATTATTAACAAAAAGGAACGAATACAGAAATGTTGCACGTCCGTCGTTACAGTAGTCAACTCGTCTGCGGTATTTAACAGCGCCCCCTCCCACTAGGAATGTATGTAGCACAAGGCCGAGTTTAACGTGGGTTTATCCGAGCCCGTAGGCTCGGGCAAAAAATATACCCTTTGAACCCGTCTAGACGGGTTCAGGGCCTGTCTACCTCCCCGGACGAAACTTTGCCCTACGGCAAAGCTTCGTCCGGGTTCCTCTCTGCCAAAGCAGAGAGAGTGACAGAAGTCAGACGCAGAAGACGTACACGTAGTTAACTCGTTCGCTCGTCTACAGTCCTCTTGCGAGGCATAATATAGTCATAAGACGAGTCTATTTTGTCCATAAAGGTAGGTCCCCATAACAATGTGCCACAAGGCCAGTCGTGGGTGGGGAAAGGTTGGTCGTCACTGACTATCCTACACCTAGTCAATCTCGTTCACGGCCCATTCATTCACTATAATTTACTCATAAACCAAAGTACACACTCATCACCACTCAATCCAACACATACCACATTACCGCGTTATTCAAAGATATCCTACTAAAACCCCATGGCATAAAAATATATACAATTGTTTTTTTTTCCTTTTTTTAAATATAAAAACATAGGAAAGTATGGCATGAAATGCGGGTAGTAGGGGATGTACCCAATAACGAAATTAAAATAACTTAGTAGGCCCCAACCACTCCACAGAAAAATACGAGCCTACGAAAACTCAGGAGCAAAAAGAGCGCAACTCGCTCGCCGACAAGCTGATATGCTCACAGAATGGATCTGACGAGACCTCCTCCAACATATCCCAGGCCATGAAATGTCACTGGACCGCGGAGCCGCACACAAGGCCTCTTGACACTCGTGGAAGAATTCGGGCTACTTCCGGGGCCCACGACGGCATTCACTTTCATATCTGGGAGGTGCGATTGAAGGCGAACACGTGTTGATGACACAAGTTTGGCACTCTCACTTCCCCCATCTCATGATACAGACGTTGGACACAGATTTCTCTGCAGACCCTCGGCCTGCGTCCACTCCACGAGAGGGAGAACAGCAAGCTACTCTCCCTGCAAAGATGCAGTACTGACAACCGGAAGAGGATGAGGGAAAAGACGTACATGGAGAACGCATCAGCCCCACCGCCGCTCTGACTATTGCCAGTACCTCCGACAAATTCCTCTTGAGCCGGAGACCCGGCCTGAACCACGCTCCAAGAATACAATGGAACTATCATTCCAACTGAAGGGCCGCGGAAGATCAACACCCTTCCACGCGCCTAACCGCAGGTCTGAAGACATGTCTCGGCCAATCCTCCCACCCCCCGTCACTTTGTCATACCGTTCTAGTGCTCTCTGCGCTTAGGCACGACACGAAAATGGATATGTCACCGGCGAATGCAGAGAACATGGAACGAGCTCCAGTAAGGGCACCGATTCCGCATATAACCGGTCTGCACTGCCTGTCCTACAGCAGGCGAAGGAGAGGCTCCAACGACGAAGCGGAGAGCCGGTCGACAGCGGACAACCCTCTTAGTGGCCTCCCTCTGTCTTTTCTATAAAAAAATCTTCTGATGCCTTGATCCCCGTTCTTCTTTTTATCCTCCGTCCGTTCGGGAACCAGTAATAAGGAGTGCCAGAGAAAAGCAATAATAACAACAAAAGTTGCAATATGAGCTCTGGTAAAAAAAAAAAATGCAATAATAACAGCAAAAAATTGCAATATGAGCACTGGTAAAAATGGTTGCTGAGACATTAGGTTTATAATACCTAAAAATTCATGTAGATGTCCTCAAGGACACAGTAGATAAAGGCGTTGGTTAGATCCAGTGACAGGGCCCAAAGAGCGTGATTTCAATACCCGGTTAAGGCAGTGGAGAACTTTCAGAGGGAAATTAACGGGAGATAACTGATAACTGACATCCATTAAACGTGGAACTAGAACAGTCTACCCAGTGAGCGAAATAAAGGGTTCAGTTCGACATTCCAACCACCTGAAGAAGGCCGGATCGTACAACGGCCGAAACGTTGTAATAAATATGGCGACAAAGATGAGGACGATAGTCCGAATAATGTAAATAATGTACATAATACCTCATCTCAGAAATGTAGACAAGCAACGTACATATTGAAATTTTTGCGTCATGTGTTTTTTTTTTTATTATTTAGTACGTTCCCTGTGTGTGTGAGAGAGAGGTATTTTGGTGTATGTAGGAATGAATTTATTTTCGGGTCCCATCCTGTGACCTAAGGTTGGAAATGGACTCATAACATTTTTCACTGAGCAGTTTAAAAAATCACACATTTTACATAGACAAATCCCTTCGTAAAATGTGGGCTGTATATATGAGTACAATTTTTTATATCTCCACAAGGTATGGGCTACCAGGGATTCCTTCAATGAGTTTATTTGAATCTTTTCCATTCAATCCGAAGGCTCCAACTACAACTGGAATTGTTAATGTCCTCATGTTCCACATTTTAGAGATTTCGATTTATTATTATTATTATTATTATTATTATTTCATTTCCTTTCTGTTATATACTCATTTCTTTTCTAGTCCCAACCAGTGACCTAAGGTCAGAAATGGCATCATATCATCTTTCACTGGGGAATTTTTAAAAAATCATACATATTTTACATGTAAGTTGTGGGCTGTGCTTGCGAGTACAATATTTTTGTATTTCTCTAAAGATTATTATTATTATTATTATTATTATTAATTTTTTTCTTTTTCTTAATTTCTTTCATCAGCTTACTTACCTTCACTCAGCAAGAAGCTTGTGTAAACAAGCGTTCTCTGTTATGTGTGTGTGTGTGCGTCTGTGTGTGTGTATGTAATGTAAAATTATTTAGACATCAATCACATTTCATTTTTCCAAGTAACAGTAAGCTAGTCCTCTCGTGAATAATTTTTCCCCATCATTCTCGACTGATGTTGATTAAAACAAAAGAAATCACGTGGATGTCAGTATTGAAATGCTACGTCAAATTTCAAACGTGATATAATTTCAAGGGGTGAGAAAGTAATTTCACGAACTATAGAAATGAGGGTAAGAAAACGAGAAAAGTGGAATATATATATATATATATATATATATGTATGTGTGTGTGTGTGTG